ATTTTGGTACAAGGTCAGTTCTGATGTTATTTCTTCCCTTGCCAAGCTGTAGCAAACACTCAGCCCAAAGGTGTTGCAGGCAGGAGAAAACAAAGGCTGAATTAACCTCTGATGGGAACAGGAAAAGTGATTTCAGGCTCCTTTGAGGATACTAGTGAAATCCCTCTAGGAAACAACAGAGATCAAAGCAGAGGAGAGAGCATCTGCCCAGGAACTCCAGCTCTGTGCTCCAGATGAGGATGCAGGACGGGCACTGATCCTGGGGGAGGGCAAGGACAGGGGCTGGCACTTGGGGGTCACAGCACTCATCCTGAAACACAACCAATCCCTGAATCCAAAGGGATTTTGTGGAAATCAAGCCATCTAAAGCATCTTGTGACACTTCTCCACGTGAAGCAAAGCAAGCAGCACGAAGTGCCACCATTTCATAATGACTGCCCCAAAACGCAGAACAACTAATTCAAAGGAAATAATATAAAAATGCTGAAAAGCAAATAGGAACTGAAAATAAATTGCTCCCAGGTCAGGAAAAGGTTATTTACCTGTGACAGAACTATACACAAAAGCCTCAGACAGCAGTGCTTAGGGCAGTCAATAGCTAAACCCTTCCCTGCAGAAATACTGGGTTGAAGTACAGAGAAAACAGAATTTCTCCACACACCATAAAGAAAGATAATGTTAGGATAATAAAGTACTTTCTCTTCACTCAAAAATACATTGCTAAATATAAAACTCTAGTGATTGACCCTCATATCCAAAGTTTTTAAATTCGGGCCTCTGTAGAAATGTGCTCTAGCAGGACCATGTTTGTTTTCCCTGGCTGCTGCTCGCCCTGGAGAGCCCCCAGCCATTGTGCTCCTGCAGGAGGAGGATTTCCGCTAGTAAATCTGCCAGGGAAACACAAGCAGGCATCCCAGGAGCTGTATTCCAGTGGGAGAATGGCAAACTCCTCGAGTGCCAGGAGCTGTTCAACAACAAAGCAGACGTGAGCCCAAGGTCTGTTGGGTAAAGCCACATTCATTTTAAGTCTCTCCATGGGCTGCTCAGGGGAAAGCAGACATGGGGACTGTTTGTTTAAAGGAAAAAAGAGGAAGTCCAAATGATTTTTAAAGCTCCTGTTCCAAGGAAGGAGAGAGCACGCTGGAATGATTCCCACATCCCAAGCCACTTCCCCGATGGTGCCAGGTATCCCTGCGGAGCCCTCGTGTGCAGCTCCTGGCTCATGCCTTGGGTCACATCTGCTCTTTGAACTTCTAGTTGCAGGAGATATTTCTGGGTATTTTCACTTGTAACCCAGCTCTGTGGATTAGGTTTCTGCACGTTGCCCCTCATTTGCTACATCCACAGAAGCCACGGGCCGTGTGTGCCAACCCTGCTTCCATGTGCCACATTTCACAACACCCCTGCTTGTGTCACAGAGACCCTCAGTTCCCCCTCACACTGCTGCATGAGCACCAAACACACATTTCCGCTGCCAGATAAAGCAAACTGGGTCACTTTGTTTCTCTACAGTAACTCCTGATTCCATCTGCCTGTCCCACCACAGCCCAACACCCACACAGTGCTCACACAAGCTCTGCCTCCAGCAAATAATCTAAACAGGCTTTCCCAAGAAATGCCATGTTCAGCAGTAATTTTTTTCTGCTGTAATTTAGTTAGCTAGAAAAAAGACATTTGAGAACTGCCAGTTCATTCTTACCTGTTCAGCTGGGTCCTTCCTCGTGCGGTGTGGCGAGCACTGAGGGTGCTCCCACCCACGTGGTGCAGGCAGCACAGCACTGCCATCCTTGTGCAGGGAAGGAAACAGTACCATGGCTCCTGCTTAACCCCTCTGGGCCTCACACCCGCTCTGATGGAGCTCCTGGAGCAGGTGGTATCCATCCCCTGCTCTGGCTCATCAGCACTGCCAGCTGCCCCAGCCCCTCACCCGGGCAGTGGGACACTCCTCCACCCCTGCCCAGCACTCCATCACCCTGCTGGGCAGGTCAGCAGCTCCCTCAGGCTATTTCCTCTGGTTGTCTGGAAAGGTGGGCTGTGCCAGGTTCAGTCCTCATCCTTCCCATCAGAAAGAAACAATCAAGCCAACAACAGGTGGGCTGTGTCTGTTCCTGAACAGCACTCACCAAACAGAGCAGGTCTCTGGGAAGGAGAGAGAATTCCTAAGATTAAGCCTTGGAGCAGCTGAGAGCACATGATTTATTTCAGAAGTCATCAGGCAAGCTTTTGCATTGCTTTATTTATCAAATTACTCAATTGTTTCAGCTGGAAGGTTATTCATTAGACCTTTCATCCTGTGATTTTTATGTGACTATGTCAGGAAGTGAGGCAAGAGCACAGGAACAGGCAAGGCAGCAGTTAAATGTTCCACTTCGCTTATGCAGGTCAATAGCACAGTAAGACACGGAAAACTGAAAGGAAGATGAGTCTGACAGACACCTTGCCCTGCAATCAGTCACCTGCAATGCCCTGCCCTCAGGTGTTCATGAGCTCAGGTCAGGCCCCGATGCTGCTGATCCAAAAGCTGTGTTGAACAAACATGTACAAGTCTGCTTGTTGAAGTGTGTGGTGCTGACACCTCATGCTGCACATGGACCTTGGGGGGCTGCTCGGGTGACCACACTTCACCCGCCAAAGGCGAGTGCTGGGCTGGCACAGAGACTCACCACAGCTTAAAGTTCCTCCCAGGCCCCAGGAGGATTATTTAGCTTAAATATTTTTAGGAAGTAGAAACCAAACTGAAAGCGAGCAGAAGTGAGCTGAATTAACATCTCCATTGCTGTCAACATCAGCAGCTAACTCTGAACTGCCATGTTCAGTGACGTGGTTGGACACACCGTGGGACTCAGACAGAAGGTGCCAGCTCACTCCAGATGTCCAAGGCTGGACAGCCAGTCCTTGTGTGGCACAGAGCTGAACCCACGGCCCCTGCAGCTCCCTGTGGGCACTCCTGCTCTGCTGGAGAGATCTGAGAAATCACTTTTAAAATAATCCAGAGCAGGAGCTGCTGTGGCACAGAGCACTGAGGAGAGCTGGGGGAGGGAGCAGAGCGTCCCCAGAGCAGCACCACCGAGGCAGTGGCAGGGCAAGAGGTGATGGGAACTAAGGCAAATCCTGGAAATACCCTCCAAATGTCAGGAAAAACCCTGTAGGACATTTTACACGTTCTGAGCTGCAGACGAGCTGAGGTTTTCTTGGGTTTGGAGTGATTTAAAAAGCAGACCCACGTGTTTTCCAGCGGGTGTGGCACTCACTGCGATTTCCCTCCAAGGGCAGGTTCCCGCAGCTCCATCCCCTCCAACCAGGCATCTGCTGCAGAACACATCTCCCCCTCAGACTGACCTGTCAGGAACCTAAAGCAGTGGCTGACAGTCGCCCAGTGTCCTGGCCCTGTGTTTGCCTGGCAAAGTGGCTGCTGGGCAGGCAGAGACGAGGGCTGCCCCTCGCCCTCCCCACGGCTCATCCCAGGAACAGCTATTTTTAGATCACTTACTGCCACTAAAACATACTTGGACTATTTTCAGGCTGACTCACAGCTGAATTCCTGTTCTGGAGGCATTTCCAGTCCCCACCCAAAATAAGGGAAGACAAAACAAAACGAAACCAAAAAAATCCTGGCTGGATCCGAACCAAAGCACGTGTCCAGCTGTGCTGATGCCGGTGTCCAGAGTCCAAGTGTGGATCTGCCCAGGGGGAGACCTGCACCCACAGCCCATCACCCATACCCACACCTGCACCCAGACCTGGTTAGCCCAGCTCAGGTGAACCAGACTGTGTTTTGGGGCTTTCTTAATTCAAATTCTTCAGTGTACTGCTCAGGAATAGAAGAATTAAGCAGAGAGGAGCATGCCTGTGGAACTTAACACGGAGTTTTTAATTCTATTTGATCACATTTTTAATTGCAAGACCAGCAACACCACAGTAAACTGTGTAATGACCAGAAATTTCACCCATAAGTTTGGGGAAATGGAGGTCATGGAGACTTTAGAGACTGCCACTAAATCAAAGGTACAAAGCAGGGCTGTCTCAGAAGGAGGGGGAGATCAGAGGCCAGCAGGTCTCTGTCTGGAGCTCCCCAGCTAAAGAGAAGGTGCTGTGATGTGACCCATGCAGGTGCTGGGGCAGTGACAGCATCACTGTCATGGAACCTGGTGATCGAATGCTGGGAGCTCTGTTCAGCAGTGCTGGGCTCCCAGGGGCACCAGTTCTGACTTTGCACCTTTTTGATGATGGATCTTTGGTATATACTGACAGAAGGAGCATATATTTGGAGGTGATTACCTGTGGGAGCCCAGCCGACAGGGAACAGCTGTGTGGGTAAATGCCATGCTGGCGTGTACACAGGCACGTATCCTTAGTGACTCAGTCACTCAGGAGGAGCAGATGACCCCTCTCACCTCTGTGGACACAGCAAAACAACTAACTGAGCATATTAATCCACAAGAACTGTCACTACACGTTGCTTATGAAGAGAAATCACCTCCTGGCCATCGATACCCAGGCACGGGATGCCACGTGCTGTACAGACACATCTCTGGAGAGGGCAGGGCAGACAGTGTGCCCATGGCCCCAGCCCTGCCTCAGGGCTTGGACTAGATTCGATGGGCAGGACAGCAGAGCAGGGCCCAGGGCAGTGACACCTGGATGCCTCTGGGCAGGCAGTGCCTCCTGTTCCAGCAAACCCAGCCTTGAGCAGGATGTCTAAGCTGGCAAAGCAGCTTGAGCTTCTGCATGGCTGTTTCTGTGCTAAAAGAATCAAAAGCAAAACTGGAAGTTCCTCTGGATTTCTGCCAAGAGCCCAGAGTCACCCCCCTGGCCAGAACAGCGCTGCTGCTGGGAACCAGACCCTGCTCTGGTACCGCTGACGGGACCGTGCCAGGGCACGGGACTGTGTGACGTGGGCCACGGCAGCTGGGGAGGCTTCGTGGGCACTCCAGATATCAGCAAACAAAGCAAAACAACACAAAGGAGACTTTTTCTATTTCTTTAAGCAGGATGCAAGGTTTATTATCTGGGGCTGGTATCTCTGGCACAGTGAAGCACATCGAAGATGATCGACGCATCAGAGAGAGCTGAACCCGGGGTGACCTGGATGGGACCCAGCGGGTGTCCCGCTTCCCGTGCTGGGGAGCAGCGAGTCCCAGGCAGGGCTGGGGGTCCTCATCTCCTGCAGGAATGCAGGCAGGGAAGGGGGCTGCCTACACCCTACCCCTACTCCCTACGGGTAGCTCCTTCTCCAGCCCAAACTCCTACGGGAGCATCATTCCATCTTGATCTTCCCCCTTTCCATCTGAACACGGGACAGTCCATTGGAGAGTAAATTGTGCTCCTGATCAATCCCACAGGGATGTCAGGCAGGGACTGGCTCCTTATTAGCTCCTGGTTCATTAGCAGAACTGCTAATGAAGTTTGAATTCTAAGGTCCGAATTCTGCCTCAGGGTATATGTTCCACTGGCACTTACAGACAACTACACTGAAGTTGGGTAGCTCTGTACTCTGATAAAGTGACTGGGACAATGCCCCTGTGAGCTTGCCTGGCTGTCCTGCTGAGCACAGACACGTTTGTTTTAGCCCCTTCCAGGTCCAGTCCAGCATCACATTATGGCTCACAAAGCAGTTATTTGAGAGCAGTGTGTTCTTCCCTCCAAGAGCTGGCTCGATAGTCTTTTGTTTACAATATTGATGTGCTGGGGGGTATCCCGCTCCGAGAGCAGGGTCCCCCTGTACTGCTGGGAGTGAGCATCTCCCCTGGTTTGCTGCAGGCAGCTCAGCAGGAGGTCTCCTGCACAATAAGGTAACAGGTGCATTTACAGGAACACAATCAGCTTACACTTATTCTATAGCATAAAGTTATCTAAAAAAAGGGCACACAACTGAATGTTCTCCCTCAGAGAGTTTCCTCCCTGCTGTCACCCACTCCAGGGGGGTCTCCATCCTCGCTCACTTCCTGGTGATTGTCAGCCTGCGCAAGAGCTGCCTCATTTTGGCCATCAGCATCTCTCTGAAGTGGTCACCCATGAGGAAATAGAAAACAGGATTAATGGCACTATTTAGAAAGGCAAAGGGCCTCGTGATAACGTAAATGGTGCTGATGATGCCCTGCGTGCACTCAGGGACGTTCAAGGCCGGTATTCGGGAAGCGAGCCGGACGTTGCGCATGACATGGTAGGGAGTGAAGAGCAGGGAGAAGATCACCATGGTGAGGATCACGAGGGTGAGAGGCTTCTCCAGGGTCAGGGGAGAACTGAGTTGCTCACTCCTGTTTTTAAGAAAACGAACCATCTTCACGTAGAAGCAGCACATGATCAAGAGAGGGATGAGGAACCCAAAGACAGTCAGGAACACGCTATAGATGAGGTTTTTCGCGGGGTCTCCAGAGCTCGCATAATCAAGACACTTGTAATTGTTGGCAGGTGTTAGAGGCTCCAGGAAATGCACCAGTGGCAGCAGCTCCAGGATCACCCCAATCCATATGGCAATGGACACCAGGACAGCCGTTCTCCTCTTCTGCAGGACGTGGTCCCTGAAGGGGTGCTTTATGAGCATGTACCGGTCAACGCTGACTGCAGTGAGGAAGAGGATGCTGCTGTACAGGTTGGCATGCAGCAGGAATCTGTTGCTGTGGCACAGGATGTCCTCCTTTGCCCACTGATCTCGGGAGTAGCTGTTCACCAGTATTGGCAGAGTACACAGAAATAACAAATCTGATAAGGATAAATTGAACAGGTAGATGTTGCCGCTTTTCCATTTTTTCAGGCAGAAGATATAGCCAAACACCACAATGGTGTTTCCAGTGAAGCCTAAAATGAACTCAAGGGTATACATGGTGGAGAGATAATACTTTTCTAGGACTCTATTTGTCTGCAAGCAGCCACTGGTCTCATTCACAGCCTGGAAAGTTAAAAGGAAAAAAAAAATCAAAAAACACACCAAAGATGAGTAAAAGAACATTTACATGTTTATATTGTTGCTGTAATTGGTGAATATATCCTCCAGTTTCATTCCAGCCTTCATGTGTTACTTGACGTGAAAGAATGTCTCTCACACATGGAATTTGCACTTTCAGCCACTGACCAGAGTTATGGAGCAAGATGAAAACTTGCCCGAGCAAAGACCTGTGTGAGGAGTCTGAAGTAAGAGCAGCCCCTGAAGGCACCTGCCATGACATGCCAGCTGCTGCTCGGCCAAAGCCACAGCAGTGCCAGCGGCCAGGAAAGTGAAATTGGCCTGTGAGTGCCCTGTCAGAGCCCTTGCTGGAGTCATCTGCCCCCGTTACCCAACGCCGGCCCCATGAGCCCTCACTCATCACCCAAGCAGAAGTTCGCTGTCAAGGCTTATGAAGGATGAGCTCATTAGCAGCAGTGCAGACACACTGACAACATTACTTGGAATTCATTAGGAAGCCAGGAGAGATGTGTTTGTTAAATTAACGGAACCATTAATCGTGTGCTTTGCGCGGTTTTGCTGGTAACTGGGTAGCAGAAGAGCACGGAGGATGGAGTGTCTCTGCTGTGCACACTGCCAAAGCTTTCTAGGAAGCTGCACCGTGCATGAGCTTGCCTGAGGACAAATTTTGCTTGCTTTCTATCTAAAGGTTGGTTGAACAAAATCCTTTCAGGACGGGGAGGAAACAGAACAGGATCTCAAGTGCTCTCCCTGCTTCCTCCTCAGCAAAGCCCGCACTGCAGCGAGCTGCAGGACACAGGGAGCTTTCAGTGAGAGCTGAAAGGAAAGTGTCAGCAAACAATTAGAAAGCAGGGAAAACAAAATGCTAGAAACCAGGACATAGATCAAAACTGAACTCAAGCTCAGGTTAAGCATTTTCAAAGGTGTTCCAGTGTCCACAACCTGTTCACAGGTCTCTGCCCTCAGAGCACCATATTTCATTTTAAAGGTAGATCATGAGCCAGAACAAAGCACAGCATATCCAAAACTTCATAAAGTTCCCTCCAGTAAGTCTCTACACTTCCTCTGTGCCCCACGGGGGACAGAAATGCTACAGAATGCTCACCCTGCTCAGTCACCTCAACTTAGCACCTACCGAGCCCCGGCTGCTCGGCTCTTGACGAGAAACTCAACACCTTAGTGAGGTTTTAAATCTGGAAAGCATAGCACTCTAAACACCAATAACAATTTACAAGTCCCTGCATTGACAGATACATTGATTTAGGCAGTGTTTCAATCTAAGTAGCCTTAGAAAAAGGCTGATTGATCCATTTTAAGGTAAGCACGTAAAGCAGTAAAGGTTAGCTCGGAAACGGGCTCGCCAGAGGAACACAAGAGGCTCCCCAGCACCGGCCCCCTTACCATCCCCGGGGCTGTGGGTGCTGCGTCCCCGCCGGGCTCCGGGATCCAGGGGAGCATCCGCGCTGCCGTCACGCCGAGGGCGAGCCGCGTTCAGTCATAAGGAGTCACGGCGGGGCAGGACGTGTTTGCTGAGCAGCACGTGGAGCAGTGGGAGGGTGGGGCTGCCCCCTGTGCGCCGAGGGAGCTGCGAACAGCACTGCCACTGCCCAGGGATCCGCTCGGAAACTGCCCGGGGCGGAGGAGGCGTGCGGAGGGACAGGGCACTGCTCCCCACCCCGTGCCCTGCGAGGTGCCCGGGGGCTGCAGGAGGGCAGAGCTGGTGGCTCATTCCCTGCTCACACGCAGTCACCTTCAGCCTCTCCTACTGCACCCAGAGACCGACACAGCAGCTGCTGCAGCCCAGCCACTTCCCACAGTTCACAAACCAGTGAAACAATACACTGAATTATATTACAGCAGAGCACTGCACTAAAGAACAGCACTTCGTTTTCATGCAGTAACACATCACCACTCCAAAGCTCGCTGCTTCATTCAGCATTGCGATATAGAAATTATTGGCAAAGACGAAAATATAATAAATACTGCTAATGCAGAGTGACCCAGCTCCACGGTGATTGATGCTCCTGAAATACCTCACTGCACCCCCCACCACAGGCAGGGACACCTCCTACTAAACCAGGTAGCTCCAAGCCTCAGCCAACCTAGCCTCAAACACCTCCAGGGATGGGGAAGCCACAGCTCCTCTACCATTTTTTCCCCCCTCCCCTTTATTGTAATGTATTTCACTGTTAGCAAACATTAACCCTATTAAGAGATATAAAAAGCTATTGTAGCTTTTCTGTGCAGACAAGGCCAATAGATCAGCTCATATTTAAGCATTACAGAAGCTCATTTAAAATTCCAACACTGATTTAAAGCTGATTTAAAATTCCAATTAAAAAAGCCAACACTGGCTTCTCATTTACCAGCTTTTACATATATTGTCCATTAAGGCAATTGCTGTTGCACTGAAGGATAAAGTGGGACTGAATAAATGGAGCGTTTCTTCCTTCCCACTGCAGTAACACCTCAGAGAACTGGCGAGGGAGCAAGAAATGCTCCTTAATGTCATTTCCCTAGGTTTACATTTGTCCCAGCTTTACAGCTCCGTGACTGCTGCATTGGTTCATTGTGTTTCTGAGCACAGGTTTCTAACCCTTGTTATTTTGAGGCTCTCCCAGTCACACGAGCTGGCACCTGCAATTCCATTGCCTTCAGACAGCCCAGCCCTAAGGAACACTCGAGCTGGGGGTCTCAGCAGAGTCTCTGTGGTTGCCAGAGGGGCCGGTGGCCAGTGCTCCCCGCCTGGTGCCATGGGCCGTGCCAGCAGCTCCGGGTGCTCCTCCTGGCACAACAGGCTGCAAATATGCTGTCCTCTGCTGGGAAGGTTCAGCCAGGGCTGCAGCCAAGCTCAGTATGAGGAACCAGAGCAAAACCCAGCAGCTCAATGGGGTAACTTGTAACGGCAGCACTGGGGCCCCTCTGCGAGCCCCAGACGGGAACAAGGGCTGGGCTGAGCACACCAGCAGAGTTCCCTGCATTTCCCAACCGGCAACAACCCGACCAGCAGCTCCAAAAACACCGAGGACCAAAACTACTGTCAAGTTCTATTTCTAGGGAGGTTGTTGGTTGGTTGGTTTTTAAACCAGTGTAGTACTTCAGCAAAAAGTTAAGGGCTCTTAAGAAAGGGATAACGATGAAGCCCCGACTGCTGCAGATGCTTTGAGGATGATTTTATTTCCTCCTTCACTCACTTATGAGTGTGAACTTCATTCTCTTCATACACCTACCTCTGCACCATGTTTTCTACAGGGGACAGGGGAGTTGGAGAGTGTGGCCAGCCTGCCTGTGCTTGGGCATCCTGGGAGGGTCTCATCTCTGAGAGTGGACCTGGCTCCCCTGGGAGCTCCACGTGGGGCTGTGAGTCCCACCGTGGTAATGGCAAGGTTTAGTCCCTGACTGTCAAACACCAAATCCCACCTCGGCCTCTGTTGGGAGACAGACCAAAGCCTTCCCTTGGGGTGATCTGTCCTGTTTTCTGGTGTAGAAAAATGAGTTGCTTACTGCAGCTCCAGCCCCTCCTGCCAGTGATGCCGATGATGCAGTTGTCACTGTCTCACTTTGTGCCACACCAGGCAGCTCCAACCCCAAAAGTCAGTTTCAGGAATCTAAAAAAACCACATACAGTCCAATCAATCATGACTCCATATTTAGGTGCTGATGCTTAAAAGACATTTACTTCTAGTTCCAAGAGAGTCCTATAAAAACACGGAGCAGGAGGTTGGCAATTTTTGGCTGGCATGGTTGTTTAGAACATAAATTTTCCTTCTGCCTTAGAGGTAGACATCGAGTGCTGCTGATGCAGCCGATGCCAGAGCCACAACAGAGGGAACAGCATGAACAGGGAGGGTTCCCCAGGTTTGCTCCAGCTGGGCTGGCACAGGCAGGTCCAGCACTCCCAAAGGGAGGCAAAGCCAACTTACCCAAGCCAGTCTGGGTGACAGCAGGGCAGCCTGCTGAGGTGTGGGCACGTCTCCTCCAACACAAACATCTTCTCTAAACAGTCTCTCAAGAAAGGCTTTGTCTGCCATATATCTGGAAACCCCAACTGGGCCCATCCCACTCGCATTTACATCCTAGAAATGCCCCTCCCAGGCAATATTCTTGTGGACACGACCCTAACACTGTATAGGAAGTCAGATCAAAGGTGTTACTTAGCAAAACCCCAAAGCCCAACTTCCTCAGGAATACTAAGATGCTGTTAATTATTTTCAAGTGTAGGAGAAATAGAGCTCCAGTGGAGATTCCTGCTGCCAGCAGGCAGGAGCCCAGTCCATGGACGAGTGTGGGATGTGCTGGCAGTGCTGCAGAGAGACCCAAGAAATAACTTCCAAACACCCCAACATTACCAGTACTCACATTAACAGTAACAGAAGAAATAAAACATCTCCCAGAGTCTGCCTTGAGCTGTCTGCAACAGCCACCCTTTGGCTTCAGCACACCTGCTGTTGCTTCCTGATAAATGGGACACTTGAGTGACAAAGCACACTGCATTGTAACCAAAGACTAGTTTAATTTTTATATTCAGCCTAAAAAAGACAAAAAGCACAGCAGTCATCCCAAGCACATTCCATCTGAACAGGCTGCACACACTCAGGAAAAATAACCCAGAATTATTGAAGATTCAGTATCTTTTATGCAAAAGAAAAGCAGGATACATGAAGTACATGGCCATGGTTTGATTAGCTTAAACCAACAGCCAACCCCTGTATTCATGCTTCAAAATTTTAGGGTTTATATTTAGCACACAAAACATTTACACAGAGGTTATTTGTTCCACACAGAAAGCTGAACTCTTTTTCAAACCTAAAAAGCTACTAAGCTAATTTTACTTTTAAAAAATCATATGTAAAAACTACTGAACAATTTTAAGGACAATTAGAACACACAGTACATGACTTATCAGATAAGTAGAGCACGGACCATGCAGCAGTGCTATTGTAAGGCTGGGACCTTCAGGGCTTCCCTTTTCCCAATGGAAATCCAGTGCTGGTTTGTTGCAGTATTTCCTGCTAGTTCAAGGATTAAAGGAAGTGAGTATGAGTAAGACAGGTGCTTTTTAAAAAAAATTTTAACAACCCCCCCAAAACCCTGAATCACTTGCACAATTTTTCAGCCATCCCGCTGGGTTTCCAAGTGCTTCCCTTGAGCCTTGCTCGGTAGGGGCAGCAGCCCCAGCCCAGCCACTGCCTGCGATGGGTGGGTCCCACCAGCTGCCTGGCACCTGGTCCTGGTGCCCCCATTCATCCCATCACCCCCGGCAGCAGCAGGGCCTTGCTGGCACATCCCACGGGAAACAGGAGCCACGAGGGACAGGGAGAAAGCAGCCACCAGGTGCCTCCTGTGTGCCCACAGTGACCTGGCCCACTGGCACATGCCCGTGGTGTGAAGATGTTGTGATAGGGAGAAAGAAGCAGCAACAGAGACAAGACACCAAGTCCCAGAAGCGGCAGGGCCAGGAGGGAAAACCCAGGCCAGTCCCAGCAGTCTGGGGGTTTGAGGCTCAGACAGCACTGGAAGAATGCTCAGATTAGAATCAGATTGATTTCCTGCCAGAGAAGATGAGAAAAGCTCCAGTCCCAACACTGCAGAGCATCTTGGCCGTCGCAGTCACGGCCGAGAACCGGCGCGGCTCCTGCGCCCTCAGTCCCCGCCGGCAGACGAGAGGCGGTCAGAGGTTCTCCTTTACCCACTGCACGTAGTTGTTCAACAGCCGGTGCCCCAGGGCCAGCTCGAACGGCCACAGGGTGAACATGAGCACCCCGTGGAAGGCGTCCTGCGCGTGGTGGTGGGTGACGGTGACGCCGGCGGCGCGGAGCCGCTGCGCGTACATCACGCCGTCGTCCCGCAGCACGTCGTGCTCGCAGGTCAGGATGTAGGTGTGGGGCAGGCGGCGCAGCCGGGCGTCGCTGGCCAGCAGCGGGGACGCCCGCGGGTCCAGGAACCCGGGGTACCGGCGCGCCAGCCCCGCGGGCCCGTACGTGGGGCCCGTGTAGGCCAGCCCCTGCCTCATCCCCGCGGGCAGCAGCTGGCTCCAGTTCACAAACTGGAACAGGTGGCCCGACTCGGCGGGGACGTGCCTGTTGGAGGCCATGGCCTCCCTGAGAGAGGGGTCTGACGTGAAGTACTCGCTCCAGAACCTGACCATGAGCGACCTGGGCAAGAGGGGCTTGTTTTCACTGTCCCGGTAGGACGGCAGGTCCAGGTCCAGGGCCTGCAGAGCAGGGTAGAGCAGAATTTGGGCCTTGAGCTTGGTTTTGACTTCAGCGTCCTCCAACAGCTGTAGAGGAAACCAGAAATAATTATGAAGAGTCAATCAGAGTGCTGGTTCTCCCACACTGACGGAAGATCTGAAGTAAGGAGATAAGACACACGTTTCACAACATGAGCAAAGTAAGATCAATAAAACCGGGACAGAGTAAAGAAATTCTGAATCCATAGGCAGGTCACCTAAAACAGTGTGCTGTGCTAAAAGCTCTCAAACATCAAATACAATTTCATTTTATTCCTTATGTTGAAGGATAACACTATCTGGGAAATACTCTTTTGGAGGCTTCAATGCTTTCTGAAGTAGTAACAAATGTTTTTTCTATAACTGCAGAAAATTTCTATTCTTACATCATGAAAATTTCACATTTCTGAATCTCCTTTAGTCATTTTGCACAATTTGGAACTTATCCACCTGGTTGGTTTTTAGCCCTGAGGTCTTACAACTCAAGTGCCTGCAATTCTGTCCATTTTAGAGATGTGACAAATAAAATATGATGAATTGAACACTAACATTTCTTATATGTCATTCTTTTCCCCTCTTCACTAATAAATTTTTCATTTTCTCCCTCACCTTCTGCCTTCAGCATCCACAGCAAATTCACCAGTGTTCCCAGTGAGATTCATTACAATCCAAACAACTTCTCAAGAGAGCAACAACATCATGTTGGCTTTATTTAACAATCCTGAGTGAGAAGCACAAAAGGCACTGAACTGTGTGATCAGACACTGGAACACTTAGTGATGGTTTTTTGTTCGGTCGGGGGTTTTTGCCCTGCTATTTACATCTTTATGAGTCAAATTTTAAAATTCCCTTTTCAAACACCATACCTAAACCAGGCAATATGTGCTTAAGGTTAGCACGCTGTATTAGAGTGCAGAGAGCCTTTTTAGGGTATGAGGGTCTGGATGACACTGAAGCTCCTCTGCTGCCAGTGAATGGCTCAGGTACGCTCGGTCCCCTGGTCCCTGGGAGCACCGTGATCCCACAGGCTGTGGGACATCCTGCGCACACAGACCACGAGAGCTGCACGTTCTTTGAGCTGAGGTGTTTGGTGGCAGTCACAAAATGACAAAAACAACTATTCTGAGCTTGCCAACCAGGCTTTAGCCGTACCTGTTGTGCCACAGCCGCAGCCAGGTTGCCCCCTGCGCTGTCCCCTGCGACACAGACCCGAGTGGGGTCCACCCCGTACTGGGACAGGACACTGCTCTGCAGGAAGAACTTCGTCACCGAGTACACATCTTCAAACGGCACCGGGAAAGGGTGTTCAGGGGCCAACCTGTAGCTGGTGGAGGCAAGAGAAATGCATTAGTCCCTGCTACTAACAAAGAGAAGGGCTCGCTAATGTCTGCCTGAGCTGGGGGATGTTTATTATTTCTGTGCCCAGAGAAGTGGGGACAGTCTATTCAGGAGGGTCCAGTATTGTAGTACCCACCCACCTTCATAAAGCCAAAACAGCCACCGGCCACAATTCACCACTACCAGCCCGATGGCCTCTGTTCACAAATGCTTATAGCCAGCAGGAAGACACATGATCAAAGGCAGATATTGCAAAATTATATTAATTGGAACTAAATTAATTGAAATTAATTTATTCCAAACCCTCATCCCACCTGGAAGGAGAATCTCTCTTACTTGACTGACACCACGACGGCATTCAGCTCGTTTGAAATCCGCCGTGACATGTGATCGTAGGATTTCATGCCTGAAACAAAACGAGTCACTCAGAATACACCCCCGCCCTTGGGAGGAGGGACACACACACAGCCTAATGCTCCTCTTGGCAGAAGCTCTCAGGTGACTGTCCCAAACCTCCACCTGCTTTTAACTTTTGACACACCCGTCTCCTGACCCTCCCCTGGGGTAAGTCCCATAAAACAAAAGGCAGCCCTTGACATGGGCTGTTGAGATCTTCCACTCAGACCCCTGGCACCAACGGCAAAAGTGCTTACCTGCGTCCCCCACGCACCACCCCCCGCCGTGGAAGTAGATCATGGCCCTCCTCAGCCCGTCAGGTGCCCTCCTGGGCAGGTACAGGCGCACGGGGACGTTGTTGAACTCGGTGCTTGTCACAGTGACGTTTTCATCGGATGTGGCTGCGACTATCTCGGTAACTGTGATCAGCCTCATGGCCTCCATGTAGTTCATCAGCCCCAGCACCTCAACAGCTGTAGCCTAAAGACAAGGGAAAACAGTGCTTTCAGTGCAGCCTCAGTTCCTCTCAGACTGAGTTTCCATGAAGGCACTCGATGCTCTGTGCAAGCCCGTAAAGTTGCTGTGTAAGTCACTACAACGACAGGCCCGGGTGTCTCCACCTGACGGGAACTTGGCAGAGGAACGAGCACGTGGTGACGGCCGCTCACACCGCGTCACTGCTGCCCAGCCGGGGCACAGCCCAGCGCTGACACCGGCCTTGCTGGTTTGGACCTGCACTCAGACTCATGTCAGTGTTTACGTGCGTCACCTCCCTCTGAAGGCTTGGAGCAGGTGATGCCAGGAGGAGCCCTGCCAATCCCAGTGGGTTGGAATTGGGATGGAGATGAGTGGGCAGTCCCTGGCACACCACAAAGGGAAACACAGGTCCTTGCCTTCAGCTCCGTGAAAACAAACACACATATGCCAGAACTGCAGTTTTAGCCACAACATTTACATAGTTTATGTAAATATTTCTCAACTGTTGCCTTTTCCCCCAGGATTAGTTCTTGAAAATACAAATATATCTGTCAAAGTGAGTCTTGCCGTGACTCCACTGAGCTTGTGAAACCCCCCTGGTGAAAGGAATTCCCTGAGCCCCAGCACTGAGGATTTTCAGCACTCACACAGCTGTGTTTTCCACAACTGGACAATTTGCATTGTGGAAAACCACTGAGCTGCTGCCTGCGGTTTCCAGGCCATTATCCAATGGAAATGAAAGGAAATCCCGCTCTCATACGAAAATCCTCATCGTCACAGTGTGAGATTATGGGGTGCCACAGGTTAACAGGAAAACCAACCACTTTGGGGTTTGGGATCCTCATGCATTTTCCACAGTCACTTCCTCCCTCCTCCATAGAGGAGCAGGGCAGAAAGGACAAAAGTCCCAAATATATGGAGGAGGAGGGGAGCCTGGCCGTGCCTGGGCAGGCGGAGCACCCACACAACTTCCAGCAGCTCAGTTATCCCGAGGGGTGACGGTCCAGATGGGACACCCTCCAGGGAAGCTCCCCATCAGCCCCACGGGGACACAGGCAGTTTGGGAGTGGGGCTGGAAAAGGCTGAGTCTGAGTTAGTGTTTCTGAGGAGCGGGGCCGGGGAGGGAGGGAGCTTTGGGAGGACACCACAGAACCACAGCAAAGACGTTGCGTTACATTTTATAATTTCTCCACGTGTTTCAGAGCGAGGGTGTGGAGCACTTCCTGAAATACCTGAAGCATTTTCTGCTCAAGCATCAAAGCAAGTGGCTGGTTCATTCCTGGAGGCTGTTCCCCAGCTCAGCAGCAGAGGGCCATGGGCAGGCAAAGGGAGACATTCCCAGTTTCCCTGCTGGGAGACATTCCCAGTTTCCCTGCTGCAGTGAGACGGGCACAGAGGGGCGTGCTGGGCACACCCCAGCAGGGCTGCTGAGCTGGGGGCTCCCCAGAACCTCCCACAGCACAGGGGATGGAGATTTGCCGTTTCATGGTGCTCTTGGCACATCCTTTTGGGAGCTCAGAGAGGACTCTGCTGCTCAGGAGTGCTCAAGGGCAGCAGTTTGCTCCCTGTGTTCCAACTCAGAAAGACTCAAGCAGGGTCCCCTCTGCAGACCTACCATAAGTGACCACGAGTCACTGCCCTGAGTTGAGCATTCAGGATATATTCAGGACAATTTAGAGCCACCTCACATCTAATCTGCAGCAGTGCAGCTCCAGGGAGGCTGTGGCTGTCTCCATCCAAGTCTCTCGGGGTTAAAGTTCCACAGGAGATGAGTGCAGTTACAAAGTGCCTGCCCACACCACCACTGTGGGGAACGGGCTCAGGCTTCACAGGCAGCTGGAACAGCGCCACAGACACCAGCTCCACGTGCCAGAGACAGCACATGATCCACCAGCACACAGGCAATGCTCCTGCCACCACTGCCGTGCCAGGGGTGCCCAGGCAATGAGCTCCCTGGGCACAGACCCTCCTTGCAGCCCCCTCCAGCAGGAGATTTGGGAGAGGAAGCAGCAAGGCAGCACATCAACAGTGCAGACTACAGATTCTTTCTCACCCCTTTAAATCTCTCATCACCTCAACCACAAAAATCAAAAAAAAGAGCAGTAAAGAGTCCCTGATATACACCAAAAAAGCCCTCATCCCTGCTGGCTGGACAACCCTAACGAGGTCTCCCCTGCCAACAAGGGCTGCCTCACAGAGATGGCTCTGGACATCAACAGTGGCTTTTAGATACACTCCAGAGTGATGTTTAGGAGACATCCCAAAAAGCTATGCACCCTTGTCTCCACCAGGGAATCATAAACGTGGTGTCTCTCAAGGACTTCTGAGCATCACACCCACTACGTTGTAACTGAAATGACAGAAAAGGCAAACCCCAAACTTGTGCCCTTTGGTGCCAACAGCCCAGGTGCTGGTGGCTGCAGCAGCAGAGCCTTCCTGCAGCATCCCCCCAGCAAACCTAGCAGCTTCTCTCCTGGCTCCTTAGACCCCTCTTTTAGCAGATTTTATTGTGCAAGAGGAAAAGCAGCCTCAAAACATTTATAGTCACCCAGGAAGATGTTTGCAACATTCAGCCCTCTTCCTCCCTTCAAACCTTCATCTTTGACCTTGTTTTTATGATTCAGTTGTGCTGCTGCAGCCACACTGCACAGCAAGGACAGCCTGGATTCAAACCAGCTCCCAGTTACTGCACCTCAGAGGTGGGAGCTCCAGCACCACTATTTACACGAGATGTGTAGCTTCACAGACCACTTACACGTGTTGGAAGGGTCTGTAACATGCCTGAAGTTAAGCAGCAGCCAGGGAAGTCGTACATATTCAAATAGCTCAGAGGGGCACACGGACCATGCTGTCAGTAAATACTGAACTGCAGCCAGGGTGTAACACCACCACCTGTCCAGGCTGTGACACACAGCTCTGCACTCCTGAGCTAGACACCATTTTTAGGTAGGCAAGAGCACAGCGGTATTAAAAGTTTTATTTTTATGTATATATAGCTTGATCTCTACATGCTCTAGCACCATCACCCCTATAGTTAGCTTAGTGTAGTTTTCAGGCTCATTCTGTCAGATTTCCATGAAACCACAAAAATCAATGGTATTTCAGAGCAACTCTAGTTTTCCCTCCCCTGACACCCAACACTGCCGAGGGAGCTCAGGACACAGGGTCTGAGAAACAGAACAATTCAAGCAGCAGGGCTTCAGCTGCACGGGACTGTAAAGCAAAAGAAACTCATCTGTGCTTGTCAGTCTGTGGTCACATCCATCATCATACTCCAGTTACTCTGAACAGCCTTTTCTCAAGATTGCACAAATAAATCTTTTCTATTCTTAGATCTGTCATAGTTGCAGTAAGTTCAATGCCCAGTTTCACCTACTGTGATAGTATACTTCACTTAGTGTACTCCCACATACATGGAACACATGCAGCATGGCACATATGTACTGCCACGGCTCCAGGAGCCCCAGAGCCATGAGAATCCCCCCCGGCTCCACAGCCCTCCCCACGCAGCCCTCCCCCCACTCACCAGTTGTCCCACAACCTTGAAGGGGGTCAAGACGAGCATCAGTGTCCAGGGCTCGGCCAGCCCCTCGGGCATGGGGGAGTAGATGTAGTAGGCGAGCAGGGCTGTGAGCAGGCAGAGGCACAGCAGCTTGGCCCCCATCTCTGCAGGCACCGCTGTCGGACTGGTGAGAGCAGCTCTCACTGACTCTGAGCAGCCACAAGCCAGCACAGGGCAAAGTTAATCAATCCCATGAGTTGTTTGGGTCCCAGCCAGGAGGTGATTTCTCGTCAGATCACATGGGGCAGAGGTTACTCCACTGGTGGCTCCCAAGAAAACAAGTTTCCCCAGCAAGGCAGGCAGCCACTGGGAGTGGCCAAGCTGGCGTGCCAAACCTGGATTAAACACTGAGGCTGCACACCCAGCACCCTGTCCCTGCCCTCAGCAGCAGCAGCCAGCCCCAGGGCTCCAGAGGGGAGAGGTGTTGAGAAATGAGGAGCAGGATGTGGCTGGGAGCTGCACACGGGGACACCAAGATGTAAACACATGTGTTGGAGATTCAGGAACCACTGCAGGGCAGCAGCTCAGCCAGAGCCCTGGGCACAGCTATGCCCACGGGGCAGCAGCTCAGCAAGAGCCCAGCTCGCAGGGATCGGCCCCTGGCAGCACCTGACCCACTGCCACTCCTCAGGCAGTAACTGGCACCTCCTGCCCTGGCAAAGGCACCACCTTTGCCTCGCATAACACAACAACCCCTTGTGCAATAGTAGGGTTGGCAGATAAAACAATATTTTACAGGGCAGGGCTTCTGGTTAATATTTGACAGATCAGATTTAATTGCCACTATTTGCAAGATTAAGAGATTTCTGTGCATCTTCCAGAGGCTGCCACCTCTGCAGAGGGTAGACAGGTAGGAGTCAAACAGGTAATAATTTGACCAAGGAAACACTGCAGCTGCAGGCACACACACAAGGAGGGCTGAACAGAACAGCTGCAGCACCAGGAACCCTGCTGTAGAGATAAGTGAGGGTTTTACCTTTTCAGTTTAAAATCTGAGTTATTTCTTTTGCTGAAGTTCTACCAACAATGAAGCACCACATCCCCGTGCTCTCACACAGAGCAGCCTGTGGGGCTGGAGCATCCTTTGGGGGAGCAGAGCATGAAACATCACAGAAGGCTTAAGATGAGCTATGTGCCACCAGCCCAAATGCAGAGGAGGAGCAGCCCTTAGTCAAACTTTCAGACATTTGCTTTAAGTTCTGGGTACCTCCAAGCTATTAAAAGTGTTTTAAAACTCCGTCTGTGCTCTCCTCCTCAGTCAGGACAAGACACCCTGTGCTCCCTCCTCAGTCCTTCTGCAGCACAACAGCTGGTTAAAGCACAATGTTCTTGACCCCCTCCAGCAAAACCAAGAGAGAACACAGCTCTGTGGTCACTTCATGTGCCCTGGAGGCCAGCACCATGTGCTGGGGACAGGGACAGCTGAGCCCAGTTGACACAGGTGCCTGGGTCCCAGCAGAGACTCCTGTGTGCACACAGGGCTGGACACGGAGCAGCAAACCCATCTCCTCTTCTGCACAGCTCAGACCTTTCCTCGGGGGCTGGGAGGTAAAACACAGCTAAAGGAATGGGATTTCACAGCTTGGTGATGGGGAATGGAGGACAAACCCTCTCCTGCCCTGCCTCTCACCAGGAGTGGCAGGAGCTCCCAGGACAGCTGCTCTGAGTGACCACTGCTCTGGCATGGGGAAACAGCATGGGGGAAGACATGGCCAGACCTGGAACCACCACAAAACTGGTGCTTTATTTTGTTGCACTTAAGGAAGGTTCCCTCTCTCCTTCCATGCTGGTCTCCAGCTGGAAACACAGCTGTGCAGTGGCAGCCCGGGCTCTGCTCTGTCCCTGCCCTGAGATCACCTTCAGCTTAGGCAGGAGCTCACAGTGCTCAGCCTTCAGAGACCAACATCTCACCTTCTGGCAGACCCACCCCTCTGCCCTCCAGTGAACTGCCCCAGCAGCCTTCCTAACCCACAGCACTCCCAGATGAAGGAAATCTTAAACAAAACTCACCAAGGGAACCCTAAAGCATCAGATGTCACATGGGAATGCCCTTATACCAATTTTATTAGAGCCCTTTCAGTCGAAGGGACCAGCTGGGACACCACAAGACCCCTCTCAGACAAGGGATGGGGTGTCAAATGAAACGTGATCATTAAACTCCAGCTCAGTCCCATGCAGTGATTACCCTTCTTGCCACACCCAACACCAGCCTCCACACTGCCCAAACTCTCCAGAGCCAGCACCAGCACCCACCACTGCTGGTTTGCTGCGTATCACCTACTCTCCCACTACTCTGAACTTTGTAAAGCAAACAAACACTTGGTTTAGTCTTTTTCCTCTTTATTTAATTTCATTAAATAAGGTTGAACAGGGCTTGGAGCAACCTGGTCTGGTGGAAGTTGTCCCTGCCCACAGTAGGGGGCTGGAATGAAATAATCTCTAAGATCCCCTCCAGCCCAAACCATTCTATGATTATAAGATGATGAAACTCTATTTTTCTGCTCTTCCTACACACACCCTACCAAGAGCCATGCAGCACGCCCTCCTTGCCAACTTCTGCGTTTCCATGTATTCCAAGCTACCGGCGCTTCAGGAAAAAATGAATGCAAAGTTAAGCAGACTAAAGCCAAGGTTAAAACTGCAATGGGAAGGAGAGCAGCCAGCAATGCCACCCTGCCCAGAGCCAGCATCCCCTGAGCCGTGTGCTCCATGTCAGGACAGTCAGGGCTGGCACTGCCTGTCACCACAATCAGCCATGGAGAGATTGCAAGGGACTTGCTCAGGCACTGACCTGTCACCTGAAAAAGTCAGCCCAGATAAAAATACCTGTTGCAACATCAGACTGAGTTTTCAGGCTGTGGTTTGGAAAGGAGAAATGTGTGAGCCCATAACCTTACATCTTGGTTGTAACACTAATGGAGGTTTATAACTTACATCTGTTTGGAACAGCAATCCCTCTTCAGCTCTCACACCTCTGTTGCAGTTCCACTTCCCGTGCTCTCACGGCACTACAAGCCCTTGCTTTGTCTGTCACAGAATGTTCTGGTTGGAAAAGCCCCCAGACCATCAAGTCCAAGCATTCCCCAGCACTGCCAAGGCCACCACTGACCCACATCTGTTAAATCCCCCCGGGGATGGGGGCTCCAACACCGCTCTGGGCAGCTGTGCCAGGGCTGGGCAACCCTTCCAAGGAATAATTATCTCCCACTGCCCAGTGTAAACCTGCCCTGAGCTCAGGTGCCCGGCAGTGCCCCATGAGCTGGCACCTCACCGGTGTGGCAGTGGCCGGGCCGAGGGGTGCCCCTGGCAGTGGCAGCACCCCGGGCTGCCGCGACGGGCACAATTCCATCCCAAATCAGCATTTTGGGAAATGGAGGGAGAAGCCACAGGGAGGCAGTGCAGCCCTGCAGACGGTTCCCATTCCACCAAAGCAGGGTACCCGAGGGCCCTCCGAACCCCGTGAGGAACAGAAACACCAGTTCTGTCCGTCCTTCCCTCCAGGGAGGACAGGAACAGGCTGTGACCATCACCTGGAGACTCAAGGACAGAGGAAGGGCTGCAGCACAGCACTGCTGCCAGTCAATGTTGTCCACATTGCCTTTGGTCAATCAAGTTACAACCTTGTAGTAAAAAGCAAAAATTACTTATTGTGCCCTTTGAAGCCTCTGATGAACACCCACCGACCGCTCAGTTCAGTCAGAGCAGCACGGGGCTGAAAATACCCCTTGAACCCTGAAACAGCTTTTGGCTTGATATTCAGAAGCCACTTCATATCACTTCACTAAGTTTCAGGTATTTCTGTTTTCTTTCTTCTTTATTACTATCTGTACTTTTTAATGGCACTTACAGGACTTGGAATTGGCCTGTTTTTACAAAACGAGGGGATGGTATCTACAAGACATTCTCTACAAGAGAATTTGGATACTGCTTTTCCATCTGTTGCTTATTACAAATTGCAAGTTGTATAAATGGAAACAAATGTCTTATTTGACAGTACAAACCCCCTTAGTGAGCACACAGAGAACCAGGATCTACCCACACTCCCAGCCACCTCCACCAAATTCTGTCCTACCTTAAGTTTTAGAGGTCAAAATAATTTAAGAAACCCAGACTTATAATGAGAATTCCATCTAGCTCACACCTCTCATTTCCAGCTTCTCAGTGTTCACGTAGTTTTATGTCTCACAAAGTTTTCCATTTCACAACAATAAGCACAATTCCTGAATTCAGGATCCAGCAGCAGATTGCTGGAGTTAGATTTGCCATCCCAGGGGAAAAGAGGCTGGCAGAGAAGGGACCTGGCAGACAATCAGCAGGAATCTTACACAAAATTGAGGCAGTTCTGATAAAACTGAAGCCCAAGGCAATCACCTGGGAAGGAGCTTGACCGCCTGAGAGACCATGAAGAGACATTTAGGAAATGTTTGCAGCAAGAGAGGGTTTGGATTTGTTTACTCAAACATGCCTCTGATTTTGTGTATGTACACATGTATGCAGCAGAAACACAGGTTTAAGGCTTAATTCTGAAATCAGCAATGCTTTGGGATTGCAGACTCACTGGGCATGTAAAGGATGAGCAACAGGAGAGATGTTATCCAAACCAGAGGCCCCCAGCTCCTCCAGCTGAGCTGGAGTACGACACAGCGATCAAGAGAAAGCACATGGTCTGTTCTTCAAATTACAACTTGATTCATAAACAAAGACATTAAATAAAACAAAATGGAACATGAAACAACACATGTTGAAAGCATCAGTCCTTGAGTCTTGGCTCTGGACACCCTTTTTCCCAGATTGCTGCCCATTTTTTATTTCCCCTTTCATCCTCACAAGAATGTTTGTAGGCAGCACATTTCGCGGTACCACAAATCTGAGGCCAGTATTTGTCAGCTCTGTCACGTGCTGCCTACCCTGATCACAGCTCACTGTACTTCAAATCAGGCTGTGAACTGTTAAAGTGAAGACAGCAGCAAAGAAAATGTTTTTAAAATATCTTTTGCAGATAATACTTTGTTTTCCTCAGTTTAAATTTGTTACATGACTTGTGCTGAACAAGTCCAGTGTCTTAGGTAAAGTGTGGACTTTGGGCAAACAATTTGCCTCTCACGAAGGTGTATTTCATGTTTTCCCCCCCACAGGTATTTCTCATGCCATTTCTCCCCAAAGCTGTTTCTCCCAGTGCTGCAGGAGGTGCCACGTGCCC